GCGGCTCTGCGGAGACCCGGCCACATCTCCGGCCGGGGCGCCAGGCGGGGGCTGTGGACAGGCTGCCCGCAGTCAGGTACCCTGCGAGACTCGGTCACGGCGGCGAGGGGGGCCCCAGCCCAGCTCCCCTCAGGGCGCCCAGGGACAGCGCCAGCGCTTTCGCGGTCTCCGCTGCCGCGCAGCAGGGACTTCGGCCTCTCAGGGTCGCCGCTGCTGGCCGGCCACTGCGCGGCCACACTCAGCGCGCGCCTTGCCTGCCTCCTCACCTCTACCCTTGCGTCCCCCAAGTTTAAAGAACTTTGAGGGCCCACCCCGTGGCGCACTCGGGAGAGTGCGGCGAGTGGCGCTCCCGCTCGGGGTTCGGATCCTATATAGGAATGGCCGGTGCGCTCACTGGATGAGCGCGGTGCGGGCGACACCAAGCCAAGGGTTGCGATCCGTTACCGGTCACAAAAAAGACAAAAAAAAAAAAAGAACTTTGAAAGCACTCGTGGGAGAGGCAGCGCTGACTGATGCTGGACGTGCCACTTTCTTTTCCCTTGTTAAGTGGAAACGGGTTAGAGAGGGGCTTAGGAAGCACAGATACTGATTCTCAAAAAGGGCACAGTGTGGCCAAAGCTCTTAAAATCTTGGTTGTTTCACATACTTTTAGTTATAAAGAAAAGTGTGATAATTCAAGAATGACACCTCATACAGAGTGAAACACACCTTTGTATCTGATACTGAAAGAAAGTGAGCTGAGATGCCGGGTACCATTCAAGCTTTATTAAAGGAAGAAAATCTGCCAGGCTGTGCTCAAAGTGGGGAAGAGCCCAGGGCTGCCCTGAAAATGGAGGACAGCACCAGGTATGGGGGCGGGAGAGCTTACACAGTGGACAGCACCAGGTGTGGGGGCGGGAGAGCTTACACAGTGGACAGCACCAGGTGTGGGGGCGGGAGAGCTTACACAGTGGACAGCACCAGGTGGGGGGGCGGGAGAGCTTACACAGTGGACAGCACCAGGTGTAGGGGAGGGAGAGCTTACACAGTGGACAGCAACAGGTGTGGGGGTGGGAGAGCTTATATAGGGCACCAAGGGCAGGCTGATACTATCAAGGAGGGTCATTATGCTAATGTGGATTGGGGTGGAGAACTGCATCCTTGCAGAAGCAAAAGGGGTTTCTGTTTAAGTCAAGAGGCTTCTCATAAAGGGGAAGGGGGAGGGTAGGAGGTGGGCAGCGCAATTTTGTACTTGTGCTTGTCTAAGATGGCGCTGGTTATGTTGAAGATCTATTGGATACCTGTCCCATTATTTTATGTAGAAGATGAAATTCAGGTTTACCACAGCTTTGACGCATTTACTGGGGAGGGGCAAGATGGCAGAGTAGTGGGTTCCTGGTGTTGCTGTCTCCCACAGAGCTACCAATTTGCAGCTTTTGAGGAGCAGCGACAGAGGACCCGAAATCTGTGCTGGAATGGACAGGAGCCGCCCACTGCAGGACCCCAGTTCAGGTTTCTCCCCATTTCATAGACAGACTTTAGAGCTTTTGGGCCCACATGTGCTGAGCCTGCTGGCCAGAGAAGACAAGTGGGGCTGGGGCGGGACTTCCAGCCCAGGTCGTCCAGTCTCCTTGAAGCTCCAGGATCCTAAGCCCTGAGTCAGACAAGCAGGTGAATGAAGGCGGGGCAGGACTTCTGGTGCAGGCAGTCTATCTCTGTGAGTGACCTGAGAGGTATGGGTTCCCAAGCCCGGAGCCAGAGGAGCTGGTGAAGGCTGATGGGGCGGGAATTTCAGCCCAGGCTGTTCCATCTCCGGGAGCGACCTGAGAGACTCTGGGTTCCCAAGCCCCAAGCCAGACAAGCTGGTGAAGGCAGGTGGGGTGGGACTTCCCATACAGGCCGACAGTCTCCGTGAGTGGCCTGAGAGGGATGGGCTTCCAGGCCCTGAGCCTGACAAGCAGATGAAGGCAGGTGGGGTTGGACTTCCGGTTCCGGCAAGTTTCTGCTGTGCAGAAGCAGCAGACCCTTCAGGATCCAAGCCAGACATTAGGGTGAGATGAGTGAACTGTGATACCCATGGCCACAATGACAGAACACCAAAGGAAAAAAACCAGAAATATGAAAAATCAAGAAAGCACATCACCACCAAAGGAAATTAATAACTGACAAAGGAAATTAATAACTTACAAGTGCTAGATCCTATAGAACAGGAAGTCTTTGAAATGACAGACAAGGAATTTAGAGTAACTGTTCTAAGGAAACTAAATGAGATTCAAGAAAACTCAGTGAAACAACTCAATGAAATGAGAAAAAACATACAGAATCTGAAAGAAGAAATGTACAAAAAAAATCAATGCCTTGGAAAAGAATGTAGCTGAGCTTATGGAGCTGAAGGATCCATTTAACAAAATAAAACATACAACAGAGAGTTTAACCAACAGACTTGAACAAGCAGAAGAGAGAATTTCTGACCTAGAAGACAGGCTGTTTGAATTATCACAGACAGACCAGGAAAACAAAAAAATCAAAAAATTGAAGAAAATTTAAGAGAGACAACCGACAACCTTAAGCGCTCAAATATCCGAATCATGGGTATTCCAGAAGGGGAGGATAAAGGAAATGACATTGAAAACATACTCAATGAGATAATAGCAGAAAACTTCCCAGGTATAGGGAAACTCACAGATCCACAGATTCAGGAAGCCCAAAGATCACCAAACACATTCAACCCAAAAAGGTACTCTCCAAGACATGTGATAATCAAACTGACAAAAATCAAAGACAAAGAGAATCTTAAAAGCTGCAAGAGAGAAGCGGCAAGTCACTTATAAGGGAGCCCCCATCAGAATAACATCAGACTTTTCATCACAAACTCTAAAAGCCAGAAAAGAATGGGATGATATATTCAAAACACTAAGGGACAAAATTGCCAGCCAAGAATACTTTACCCAGCAAGCCTATCTTTCCGAAATGAAGGACAAATAGTATATTTCTCAGACAAACAAAAACTGTGGGAGTTCACTACCACATGACCAGCCCTACAAGCAATTCTCAAGGAAGTACTGGGTTTGCCACCACAAAAACAACCATCACTACCATGAATACACAAAAAAGAACAATACCTACCAGCAAAACAAAAATGCTAACAAAAGAGAGTGAAAATAGTCTATCTATCACCCTGAGAAACCAACAAATACAGAGGACAAGTAGAAAATTTGAAAGAAAGGAACAAAAGATACTTAAGACATCTAAATGAAAATCAGTATAGTGCTAGAAGTAAATCAACACCTTTTAATAATAACTCTGAATGTAAAGGGACTTAATGCCCCATTCAAAAGACACAGACTGACTGACTGGATTGCAAAGATGGACCCAACAATGTACTGTCTCCAAGAGACTCACTTGACCTGTAAAG